GTGCCGTCGAGTCGGTTCCAACCCATAGTGACCCTGAATAGGGTTTCTGAGGAGCAGCTGGTGGGTTTGAACCACCAACCTTGGCGGTTAGCAGTTCAGTGATTATCCTACAGTGCCACACCAGGACTTGTATAAATCTCTATGCAATAAGGAGCTGACTTTGGAATTCTCTATGTATTGAGAATCTAAAATTTTTATTAAAAATTTTGTTTTCCTTATCTATAATTTTCAACTTTTCTCTAATAAGTAAATGTCCTTTTTCTGCACCTCACCTATAATAATAAATCAAAACCCTAACCCTTTGCCTTTGAATTGGTTCCTACTTCCTGCTGACCGATGCGTTTTAGAGAACTGCTCAGGCTTTCTTGGCTATCATCTTTACAGAAGCTACCTCCAGGTCTTTCTTCCTCCGTGCAGCTGGGTGGTTTTGAACCTTTAGGTTAGTTACTCACACATAAACCACTTGCTACACCCAAGGAGTCAAGGTGAAAATATAAAATTGGTGTAATTTTAAGAGACTAGCTGAGCTCTCTCAAGAAATTCTAATGTAGGAGAAAGAAAAATGAAGGCTTTAGGGTGTGACCAGTCTTCCGAGTTTGGGGGCTCCAGGAAGGTCCTGTCTCCATGTCCTGGAAGGGGGAAGGTGTCAGTCTCTAATTCTGGGGTGGGCTGCATTAGCCATTGCCCACTTTTTGGAAACACAGCCTTTGGCAGCAATCCCCAAAGGTGGTCAGCGGTGAATGTTTCCCTGCTTGGTGGAGACATGACAGAAACAGACAGTGTTGTGGCTTGTCCTTTAGTCGAAGATTCTCAGCTTCTCAGCTTTTGGGTGTTCAAATGTCCTTTTCCTCCTGTCTTTATTGGAAGGAGCCCTAGTGTCACAGTGATAAAAGTTCTCTATGGTTAACAGAAAGGCCGGCGACTGGAACATTCCATCCAGATGCTTCTCAGAAGTAACATATGGCAGTCTGCGTCCATATAAAGATGGGCAGCCTCCAAAATCCTATGGGGCGGTTCTCTGTCCTCTAGGGTCTCGGAGTCCAAATCGACTCAATGCAGTGGGGGATTTGTCTTTATGGAGGTATACTTCCTATAAAAGAAACTTGCCCATTTTAGGGGTGTAATTTGATGGGGTTTCTGGCAATGGCATAATGGTGTACGGTCGTGCAACCATCAAACTCAAGACAGAGAACATCACCCCCAAATCTCCCTGTTCCCCATTCAGTCAACCTTGCCCTCTTCTCTCCACCCTGCCCCAGCTCTGGGCAACCACTGATTTGCCTTATGTCACTCTAGTTTTGTCTTTTCTAGAATTTTATTATGAACATTAAAAATACAGTGAAAAGTAGGTGTGCCTGGGTAATGCAAACAGCTGAAAGGTTGGCGGTTCAAATCCAACCAGAGGCATCACAGAAGAAAGGTCTGGCGATCTACTTCTGGAAGGTCAGCCTGGAAAACCCTGTGGAGCATGGTTCTGCTCACATGGAGTTGCCATGAGTTGGAATCAATTGGATAAAGAACAAAAAACACGCTCAAGCTTTGGGCATTATTATTTTGCTGCCTGTAATGATCTGTGTTTACCTATTTTTTCCCTTTTGAACCACTGAAAGTAAACTGCAGATTTTATATGTTTTACCCTTTCATGGAGTTCTCTGGGTGGTACAAACAGTAAACACATTCTACTGCCAACCAAAAGATTGTTGTTGGTTTGAATCTATACAGAGGCACCTTGGAAGAAGGGTCTAGGAATCTACTTCTGAAAATTCAGACATGCAAATTGGATGGTGCAGTTCTACCCTGACACCCTGACTGTCTTTGGACAGTCTAGAAGGTTCCACTAGTCTCTAGCAGACCAGTAAACCTGCTCTTTTTATGATTTTGAGTTTTGTTCCACCTTTCCCTAGATTTCTTTTGGAAATGTCTGAATTCCCAAAGTTTGGAGCCCCTGGCTTCAAGACCTCTAGTGAGACGAAAACCAGCCCTGTGTTCCATGTCCAGACACTGACAGCACCAGCCAGCTCATGGGAGGCGGAGCTGTGCTGGGGTGCCCAGTAAGCATCTTATGAGCTTTGGGGTTCGGAGAGCGGCTTAGGGGTTTACGAGGGCACATGCTGGAGGAGAACCGACACTTGGCCAGGCATCAGCAGCAGCTCAGAAATGGGATGTCCTACGTGCCTCAACTTACTGATCTAGAGACATGAGACGTTTAAGGTGACTGATATTCACCAAGTGTCAGGAAATTGGGTTATTATTATTTCACCTGCTGTTGTGAGAATATACACAACAGAATAACAGTACTTCAACCACGCACAGGCCAATGACACCGATTCCGTTAATGAGCCCTCCACAACACGTA